GAGGCGTCAGTCGTGGTGTAGTGGGAAACAACACCAGACTCGGTACCACTAGCATCAGTGAAGGTAGTGGTGTAAGCACTTGGAAGGGACTCAGAGCCAGACTCGGAACTAGAACTAATCGATGAAGATGATAGGGCAGTTGTGGAAGAACTGGACGACGATGAGGTACTAAGCGAGATAAATTCAGTAAGGAGTGAAGGACATGCTTGACACACACTTGGTACGGATGAATCTGGGACGGGTCCATCATATGTGATATAGCCAAGAGAAGAGACCATACCACCTGTTGATGAGGTTTCGTCACCATATGATGTTGTGAATAATGAAGTATCATATCCCGTACCAATAATGAAGTTATAGGACTCATAGGTGCCTTTGGCTGCCATTTCGAAAGTGAATGTGAGTGTATCACCGGAATATGACCAATCGGAAATCGCATAACCATTCAACCCAATCCAATTACCGTTACCAAATCCTGCAACAGTCAAATCGTTCGTCATACCACCTCTATTTACGATGAGTTTTGAATCAGACGATGATAAATAAACAGTTTGCCCAGTAGACCATGGATATGAAGCAGGTTCTTGGTAGTAGAGAAGAGAATTGTTTCCAACACTGAAACAACCAGTGCCAGATACTTCAGCCTGCTCGACCAAATTCATATATGATAGACAAATTGTACCATCATTAGTGACCGGGCTTCCCAGACCTCCAAAGTACGATAAACTACCGGTACGGGAGGCATTTTGGTAGAGCGCAATAACACCATCGTTGGTAATGCCTCCACTATTAACGATATTTCCGGTCATACCATTTGATGCAGTACTGAGGACATAAAGAAGACCACTGTTCGTGAAATAGGTGTTTGAATCTCCGTTAATATAAAAACTCAAAGAAGAAGTTTCGTTTACACCATTTACCACGATTATACCATCATTGGTCAGTGTACCTGAGAAGCGAACCGTCATACCAGTCCATGTGCCAGTATCACCGATGGAGATTTGACCACCATTTTCAACATTAACCTCACCGTTGAAGGTATTAATGAGTTTACCATTACCGTTATCATAACCTAGAAACCCGCCATCTTCGACAATAAGAGTATCAGTTGCAGCTAAAGTAGCTTGGGCTGTAGTGATAATGGTTGTTGACACCGTGGTTGTAGCAGCGAGCGCTGTTGAGATCATAGTCATCAACAGCGCCATATTACATCGAAGATGCCTCATGATTGTTTGATGGTTTTGAAGTCCTAAGAAAGCACTGAGGGTTGGGAAGAAACATGAAGATATCAGCCTTCTTAAATACTCTTGGAAAAGAGATCATTCAAATTGTACGGAATGTTATCCAATATGGTTCAACAATCGAAATGTGTGAGTATGTTAAGATTCTGACACTTGAAAAAGCTGTGATCAAATTCAACTTTTCGTTAAATCTAACTCTACATAAACCGACGTCGAGGTGCAGAATATCCGCAGAAGTTCGCTTCCAGGTCCTCCTTGTACTATATAATGGAGGTACTTACACATTCCTCCGTATATAGCAACTAATGCTGTTGTACATTTGCAATTTTCTGCGTGAGTGATGCACAGCTATTCAAATCTGGGGTGTAGCAGCCGTGAAAGGCTTCGATCAAAGTCTGAGTAGAAATTGGGTACGGCTGTTTATCACCGAGCCCAAGTTGACAAGCGAAGGGCCTATTTGGGATTTTCTGAAACAGTGATTTAGAGGATGAGGGAAGCCTTCGTAGATCTTTATGGGCTCAACAAGAACAGTACCTAACATTGGGATTCAACTGGAATTACTGATCAGTCAAAATTCTACGGATTGAATACTTGGCTATTGGCCTTAAAAAATGTCTTCAACAATAAAGAAGTAAAACATGATCTAGGTCATCATACATATCCACCCCCCGGCATTCTAGGCATATTGCTGTGCATATAACTTGTAACGCGGCTGCTGAACACGTTGTATATACTAATCGCACCAAACTGGTCACATTTAGGTTATTGCCAGTAATATACGTATTAAGCGAAGAATCACCGGTGGGGCTTTGAAGGGAATGGAAGGTTTTCAAGCGGTTTAACCAGTTATACCGGACCAACAGTCCAAAAGATGGTATACATATACGAAAGAAAGGTTTGAATTTCCACATAACAAAGTACACAACAGATGGTTATCAGAGAGTAAAATAGTTAAAAAGTATTGATCCTACAGACATTATCTATAGCTATAGCAAAAACTATTAGTTTAAATTATTTCAATAACTTTAGGGACATTACCACTTAAGGAATCTAGCACTGAACTTTTGACATTTTCACACCGACAGACGGGAAGCACCTAGACAAGCACACGGCAAGTGCAAGGATTTCTAGATTTTTCTGAGGTCCAAAATAGAGCCTGTCTTACAAGAATTTCGAAGTTTCTTAAAGTTATACAACAAAACATCACATGCAGTGTCTAGTTACAATGTGGTTTACGAAGACTTGCAGTGTATTAATAATACTCAACGAGTGCGTTTTGAAATGCCATGTTGAGAAACGAAAAGTCCTTCTTGAAAAGGACTGATACAAGAAGAATTGGAAAATATACTGCATGATCTTTTCGTAAAGTTGAAATTTGATACTTGTTTCCTTTCTCAAAGGAATGCGGAGTTCCAAAACGGACGCATAGGTGTTCAAGAAGTTGTAAAACTTTTTTGTATCACCAGCCATGAAATAACCTCTCACAATTGTTGAATTCAAAGTTAACACCATCTCCAGCTGTTAATGTGATGATACGCACTATACTTTGGGAAATGTTCCTTTTTCTCAACACCGTCTAGGAATATTCTAGAGAATGATAGGGCAACACCATGTTCGCTTTAGCAATACTATTCTCATACACAGTACCAACAGCCTTTGAATAAAAGTCTTCATGGATTGGTCAGTAATCTGAAGGCTCATAAAACGCAGGCAAAATGTACACAAAGACCAGGTCTGGGGTACTCATAATGTATAATTTGAAAGTTGGACACGGAGCATAGATTGTACTGCACGCCCATAGCTATTACGAACTTCAAATGCAAAGGAAATAGAATTTGAAGACTTTCTAGAAACTGGACCGGACGTGGAGGTACATTCATGCTTCACCAAACCGAGCCATAAAGTCCTCTGTGGCTGGAATGTTCTAGCCTCCCAATGAACGTTTACAAGAAAACCAGAATACATTGATAGTATGACCGAACCCCATTTTAAATCAACAGCCTGGAAAGTATCACGATTCGCCCATACCACAGCCTCAGTACTGGACAAGTTAATGTCTGTGTCAGTCCGCATGTACTTGTATTTTTAGGGCGACCATTACACTATCAATCAAGAACGCGCCTCTTTTCAAAAGGTATTGCTGTTACAAAAAGATGATTTGATACTCTTCATTAATGAGTGTTTTCCAACCAGACGGATGGTATATGTCTCTGGATTTGTTAGAAGTTTTAACATGAGGTATTGGTCTGTACTGAAACTGGAATAAGGTTGGTCAAAGTTATTGGAGGCGTAATAGAATTATCTGTAATAACCCTCTTGCAGATGACTGTTCACTGTGTTGATAGTACAAGAATTTACGAACGGACAAGACACAGAGAATAATCTAAGAATGATGTTACATATCATTGCCAGTCTTCAGTGATGATTTACTTCTTGGGATGTACTGTTAGTTAATGCACTCAACGTACAGGAACCACAATCATTTTTACAGATGGTCTCCATAGAATAGAATTTATCTAGCTGGATCTATAGGTTTTGTATTATGGCCTCATTAGCGAAATAGAGGAATTTATGGGTTGTACTTTATGTAGCTGTATCTGGAATCTGTTTCAAGTAAACGCAACTTAGGACACTCACCTTTATTTCCCTATTACTCGTGACTATACAGAACCTCCGTATTCGTAAATAAGATGATACTTCTGTTTCTGTATTGTGGTAGTGAACTAAACTGAACCACTTGGAAATTTTTCAAGGATTTTTTGATTCCCGTTCTTGTTTTTGGGGATTGTCTTTTAGTTAGACTATCTCATTTTATCCGTGTTTTCACATCTTTCTAACTTCCTTGCATATATTCTTTCTTCATAGTGCCGATAGATTCTTAAATTAAGACGTTGATGTTAAAAGTATGACTTTATTATTATTTTGATATTGATCCTAAAACCAGAATACAAACAATCTAAGTAATGCAGTTTTCCCTAAGTAACTATATTCATTACTTTTTTTGAAAACCAATTAGTGGCTAAGATGAAAACTCAAGTACAATTTTTGGGAATTTTATCAATGAGACGACTGAAACGAGTAATGCAGGTCAGTATAAACCTTCGTCAAAATAGCAGTTTGTAGACCAATAAGACAAGGCCATTTTTAGTGACAATACTTAATATACAAATGTAATAAAAAACATTCGATAATGTTCAAATTATGATCTTTAATCATACTCGATTTGACTCTGCAGTTAACCTGCAGCGTGATGGATGTACGTTTAAACAAGGTTTATGTTCAAGAACTTTATAAGTTGGTGGTTGGTAGTTGTCGATGCCTTGTTCGGAACAGTCACGCCGGCAGCAAATTGTGATAGCGGTAAATATGAAATCCTGCTTCATTCCAGAAGCACCTTAAAGCTATAATGAGTCGCAAATCGTACAACTTTATTCGCCCCAATAATTTCAATAAGATTTTCATACGAGGAAAAACTTTCAAAAGAAAAATACATCAAGCCTTCGTCAAGCTTCGTGCAACTGTTGAAGGTTTTATGTATACATACTGGGAATGCTACTCATCATTGTATTTTATAAGTATTAATTGTTTTAGGCACCAGGAGAGTTGAATTTAGTACGACCAAAATTACATCTCTATTGAATTCCTAATAGTCTAAATTGTTGCAGACTAAACTGGGAAAATATTTACTGTTTAATCATCACGTGCGCCTCTTTTGTTAAAAGCATGGTTGTTTTCATTGACATATTGCTAAACACATCTTTAAACACACATCTTATGTAGCGCATCAAAAGAAATACAAAAAACCGGTACCATCGGACTGGGTACTAGCTTTAACAAGAGCATCTCGGATGCATGACAAATTTAATGCTGTCTGCCGCTAAGCATGCATGAAATCCTTTGCAGCTCTTTGCATAAATTCTGTTAATATGTTACATCAGCTTTCGCATGTTGCCAGTTAGTATGAACTTCTCAGTTTGAAAGTTCTCCTCTATCAAAATATTGACACCCATGGAAGAATGTTTTCCACTTGTGAGGACAAAAACAGGGACCACTGCTCTTGATGAAATAACCTCTATAAAGTGCTTTATCATCTCCATACAACTTTGTGTTTTTCTTCCCTGTCATTTTCTCGATTCCTGACATCTTCAATTTGTGGTTTCATTAGGCTTGCATATCCATGCATATCGCCTATATCGATAGTGTCTAGGAATGTATCCACACAGAATTAACTCGCAAGGGCATTTGTGGTCCCATCTACAATGTACGATTAGCGCATTCGATATGATGTTAGCCTAATTATGGATTTTGTACTGTTTCCTCGTCGTAACGCAGCTAAAGACTTGACTTGGTTATCCTTCTGTGTAAATAAAGCTCATTGGTAACTTGAAGTTTTGGAAATTACAAACTTTTCCGCAAACTTTTTAGCTAAGTTATTATAGAAAACGAGTACTAAAAATAGTAAAATTTAACGATTTCCTCATAGATTTACACATTCCAATTTTGGATTTGCGGAAAGCAGAGAATCTTGTTGTCTTCCAGAAAATGTAAGCAAAACAACGCACCCTGATGTAACCCAAGCCGACCAAAATATTTACGACTACGAGACCTATATGGTGTTATGAAGAGAATCTGAGTAGCCAGCAACCCACCTCTGAGGATCTCGATTGGGTGGATGGGATTGTGCCTAACTTTGCTGTTATTATCACTGTGAATAACACCATTTGTTCTGAGCGGATAGTTCTGAAACTTTTTTTCGTGAGTTAACAGAATTATCATTGAAAGATATTGATGAAATGAGAGAGAGTTTTAAAAGATACTATAAAGTACTCTGAATAAATGTCAGTCTAACTCCCATGATGACGTTAAGTATTTGTGCGCTCTTGATGATGTGATTAATCGACAGTGTAAGGGTCTACTCTTGTTGGGAAATAGGTTAGACATCCTCAAAAAATAAAAGAGTTACGGTTTGTCTTGGTTTTCGAGATACTAATTACCCAATGATATCCCAATCTTGATTAGGATATATTCAATAAAGCCTAATGTAGTGATATATCTTGGATTCAAAGCAAACAACATGACTCCAGATGCCGATACTTTGGATCTTGAATGAAAGAAAAGGTTGCTTAGGTCAAAACATTACAGATCATCACCTGTAGAAACATTCAAAAATAACATTCTTATACTTCATTTTCTTTTCTTCTACAAGGAGTTTCAGTTCCTTGTCACCATTGAAGCCGACAATCATCACAGGCAAACAGTTTGTTCAATGCTCTGAAAAGACCAGCATCTGAGTTTAGACGTGACTAAACATCCGAACCAGCAAATCATTTTATTCCTTTTATTGGCGTGGATTGATTCGTTCAGGCATGATACAACTAAGAGCAATTCTGACCGCTTCATTCCATAGTATCATGAAGTTGAACAGTATGGTTGTACGTTTGTATCCTAAGAATGACAGTCCTAGCAGAACTGAACATATACTTCATCACCAGCAGACGCAGCAACTATTCCTAAATCCGTTTTTCGTACGTTTAGTGGTTTGGATTCTTCCATGGATTATTCCATGAAATCTTTCACCCTTGTCGTGACCTGTGTTCCTCATCTTTTCTAGCACGTCAACTAATATTACTGTAGTCCTCTTTACCGTTCCCATGCTTTAGATCGATTGGTACCCTTGAAACAATCCATATGAATGTCCAAAGACAATTTACACAGTCTGCTTTTACCCATTTTCCATAGGTTTGAGGTGCCTTTCTTTTAGCTTGTTAGTTATCAATGTAAATGATCAAGTTGTCTGCTTGATATAAAGTATTATGTCATAATGTGTCCGTATGTCCATCCTATGAAGGAGTATTTACAGTTTGATGCAAAACAGCAAGAGCGTTTCTTGGTGATGAAATTTCTAGATCGGCCATGAACTCCCTGTTATGCTGTAAGCCCGACGACTGAAACCCAGCCCTTGAGATCATAGCTATATATGGTGGAATACCGTAGATGATCACATTATACAACCGATTAAATGAATGTAGACTCATATAGATTATACTTGACGGTTACTTCCAATAATATGGAAGATGAGGATAGAAAGTGTAAAGTACAATACTCCCTTTCTCAGTCTTCCTGCCTTCTTTTAGAAAAATAATCATTATAGCAACACACAGAAACGTAAACACTAGACTCAAGAATATCCCACTTTTGCAAAGCGCTTACAGGTGTTGGTGCATTTTACAAAAAGTTCCGTCATCAGTGTGAGCAGGATATACGCAGGTCAAAATTTTAAATCCTAATCAGTCTTCCAATGTTTTGGTGTACGCTTTCCGGTCCTGCAAATTCCCAGCGAACTCTAAGATCGCCTCATATTTCCAACCACTGGGCACTGGAATGCTTGTATGGTCACCTCAGTTGAACAAACCGGTTTAGAGTACCACAGTCCTAGTCCTTGATTGTGTATTAGATTGTAAAGCAACAAAACGGTGTCTTTGGTGTTAAGCGGATTCTCGTGTTTTTTACTATGACTTTAGGGTCAGATATATTACCATGGTTTTGTTGTAGAATGTACTTCCACAATAACAGGCTTCAAGTAGGCATTCCAGTCCCAAGTCTTGCCCTAATAATGGTCAAAAACAGACGAAAAGTGCTATTCTATGATACACAATTAACTTCAAGCCCCGTTCACTTCAGCATTCATTATTCGGAATTCTGACTTTGAGATACATGCAAAGAACCAGACACGAAAAAGAAAAAATAGATACGAAACACGCGTTCAACAAATATGTGACTTCGTAAATCACAGGAGTCACCTGAGGAGCTTACATCAAACCAGGAAGCGTCTTGATAAATGCACATTGAATACTAAATTTGAGTCATCATTACAGTGTTGAGTGATTATTGACTGTGTTTTATTCTGTTGGTATTAAGACTCGATCCCAGAGTCCATACAATGAAGGCTAATTCACATGAAGAATGTCAATGATACTGCTAATATAGTAAATAAACCGTATCAAATTTGATTCGTTCAGCTTTTTTCATCTTTGCAACGAACGGTAGACGTAGAATCCTTTTGATACATTCTAACTCTCAAAAAAAATACTCGTATTCAACCCTTACAGCAATATACTTTCTCAATCAACAGAAGCCCAGATCTAGGGGGTATGGATGAGATCTTCCAATGTACGAACTCACTTGCCTAGCTCATATTGCAGCTTTTCAACAGTATGTACCCCCTAGCATGCCTGTTGTGTTGTAATTACAATATAATTTTATGTCTTAGGGTTCATGGACTTTGAATATACGTATTCTTCATGAACAAATAGAACCGGGAGCTGGTCAGTGATCTGCAAGCTCATGAAACTGGAGCAAATGCACACAAGGATCTGTTCTGCAGTCCCCATAAATGTACGCATTGAAAGTTGAACGTACAGTATGTATTGTACTATGCGTATTGCTATTACGAAGTTCAAATTCAAAGAAATAGAATTTCAAACACTTCTAAAACCTGTAATAAGTATGAACGTACATTTATCATTAAGGGCATTAAGTCTCAAAGATCTCTGAGAATAGAAAGTTTCGGCCTCCAAATCGTCTTTTAAACAAGGGCATCAGAAGATCCTGATACATTAGACTGTTATTTTGTGTAAACCCATTTTTATTTAGTATATTATAGGTTTGATGGCTTTTCAACATGACAGTTTGAGTAGCAAAAAGGTTGAATATACATTCTAGTCCACATCCAATTGTGCGCTTTTGGACTATCCCAACTTCCTGGTATCTAGAAAGAGTTTGTCTCTAAATATTTGCACTATTAAAGAGTCTTAACCCTTTCTGAGCTTGTTAGGAATCATGACTTGCATCAGTGACTTTTGTTGAGATTGAAAGATGGTTGGATCCCTTGGTGGAGGGATTATAAGAGCTCTAAAAACAGGGCTCTCTTTTCAAACAAGTATTTACTGAAGGGAATCTTGTTAATAATGGTTAGAATTCAGCAAAGTTTCTTACGAAGCAACTCTGTATGTTCTTTGGTTGAATGTTTTTCAATCCACAATAATCAATATATTACCAAGTTTTCGTAATGATCGGTTTTCATGTTAAAAACCCCTTAAGGTTTTTCTTTCTTTCTCTTTCTAGGAATAAACGGCCTGTACCCTTCACACTGTATTTTCATCCTCTCACAATTAAAGCACCCTCCTGGTCTTCTTTCGTCACATTTTACCTTTCTTCGACGACAAGTTATACATCCATTTCTTGATCTCTGTGATTTTTTCTGATTCGGTGGATATGGCATTGAAACAAAAGGCACTGCAATAACATAATGATTTGAATTCAGTTCATTGTCATTCGAAGGTACTGGTGATACAGAGTACAGTTTTGTCCCAGGGCCACTAAACTGTTGGTATACAGCCCGTAATTCATGTCCGTAATATAAATGTTCTGCAGCTGGATCTGTTTTGCTGTCGTGTTGTGAAATTAGGCTTTGCTTCTCTATAGGCTTTAGAGTGTTCTTTTTTTTCCTTTTGGGAATCTTGCATAGCTTTCTTTCCGAAGACGATTCTGAGTTGATGGATCCTAACTTCGGCTGATGAACCACTTGTTCTATATTATACTGCGTTGAATATATTTCATTTCCAAATACTTCGTATCCTGACTTGCAATTCGATTTTATGGCCTGAATTTGAGGCCCCGAAATATAAGAGTTGCTTGGAATTTGATCACTCTTAATATGTATTGCGTGAGCTTCGGCCGATTGATCATATTCAGTTCTTACATGTCCATGATTGACCAGTACCTTCTGATTGTAATCTCCTGAGGTATTAGAGTCTGTTTGTGTGTTATAAACAGACCTCCATAGCTCTAGGAATGAAGGTAAAGTCTCCACTTTCATAATCAGGTCTTTTGGTTTTCGTTTTAAATACATCACATCTTTATTCTGGAAGTTTAGAAAAAATTGTGGGATTGTCCTTATATATAATGGGGAGTATCACACAGCTTGGATTTAGGAAGTTAGCAACAAATATCAGTTTCTAAGCTTGAATTACAGTAGTTTATTTCCTTAAATGGCGTCTACTTACTGTGCAACACTTCTTCAATGTGGCTTGTTTGAGTCCTTACGGATGCCAGCCATTCTTAACCCCAAATTTAAATCCGAACTTGCTGTGCTATGGAAAAATCAACATCCGACAATTGGAGGTTGACGCATGTTGTTGCATTCAACATAAAAGTATATTGAGATGCATATCACACTACTGGATACCGGCCTGGTTTAGAATGCCATTAAAAGTCCATAGATATATACAAGTTAGAACTTAAAACAGCACACAAGACATAATAAAAATTGGCTTTGAAACACAAATGGATTATCGCTATGATTGTGCGACAACGTTGTTGAGTTTGTTCTCTAAAAATTGTTGTCTTATTAACAACTAGGAATGTGTAGAATATACAGCGTTATCATAATACTAGTCTTTAAACAACATTGTTTTATACTCCACCACTTATTTATTTATGTATAAAGTATTTTCGACACATTGACCTTGTTTTTCTACTTCAAACCTCTTGAAGACGCTGTTATGCTGGTATTTCTTCCTTCGGCTTTTCAAGGGCTCTAACATTTTTTGTTTGATGAGCACTGTAAACTCTTTTTCAGCCCCCCCCCAAATACGAACAAATGTACCACAAAGAGCCGTGTCGTGTTTAAACTTTCAATACATACTCCATTGATGAGGTGGAGTTTGTTTATTCGTATTGATTGGGTGTTTTGCATCTTGTATCGCGAATGATGCAAATTATCCAGTAACCTTTAGAATCATTTCACAGCCATGTGTCCAGAGAATACATTACTAACAGTGTGCAGTATCAATTTTTTTTTCAATTGAAATGACATCTTCAGACATTACTTTGCGTCTTGATGCATTTCTTAAGTTCGGTAACGCACCACCGCAACTGAATGAATAAGGCGTAATTTATATCCACAAGAGGATCGATATGCATATGCATAGATTCCAAGGTGCATGCAGCGATCCAGCAGAGTGCATGAAACGTGTAGAATATTGAACATGCATGTTGATCAGCAGTTTCGAGTACTATCTACTTGAGCAGCTGCGTGTGAGGGGCTTGCGCTCTGTTTAACTTTTGGCTCCATTGCATTTTTATCCACCCCTCATAATTCACATTGATACCAGTACGCCGAGTACCATTAGTTGTCTGCGTGGTAGCTTCCACTATCTTCCAATATCATTAAACAATTTACCAGTTCCCACAGCAGTAAGATATACGTAATTTGTATATGAAAACCAGGCAGAGGTTTCTATTATAAGATCATCTCAATGATTATCACTATATTTCAAAAGGTCAACAACGAAAGTACGAAAAATCCCTTAGTAAGCCTATATCAGGCGAAAGTGCCATCACACTGTGCTTACGGTACCGAGTGAACTAGGCAATTTGAATCCAAATGGCCAGTGCCCAGAGAGAAAAAAAATCCTTGAAGAAAACATAATAAGAACGACTATTATGTATACTCAAGAAGAAGAAGAATGAACAGATCAGATCATCAAAGACACCAACAATGTCAATAATGATGCTAGCAGACCATTGGTGGTCATGATAGCACCAGAACCCGAGTAGGATGTCTCTAGAGCAGTGGCTGTCGTGCCAATGGCACCAGTGGTGAGAGTAGCCAACGTGGAACCTGTGGAACCCATGGAATTCAATTCAGTTTCTGCCTCCAAGGTGGTGGTTGATGACTCGCCAACCACCGTAGCAGAGACTCCACTACCAAGTGATTTCTCTGTTGAGGTTGAAATGCTACCAACCTCTGGAACAATAACAGATCCTGATTCACCTGATGTCTCAACACCTGTGATGGCCTCGGTCTTTGTGATGCGTTCTGTTTCAGTACGGGTGGAGATCGCAAGAGACTCACTAGACTCCTTAGAAGATGTTGTTGCTGTGATTGCTCCAATACCCTCGTTAGTGATTTCTGCAGTCTGGGAACAACGCTCACAAGGAACAACGACAGTCGCAGCGGACACAGCACCAACCAAATCGGTAACAGTTGAGAGAATCACATTCGAGGTTACAGATGCAACACTAACAGATCCACCCTCATCTGTCGTAACAATACCAGTAATTATCTCCGTCTTGGTGATTCCCTCAGAGTCAGTGTAAACTGATGTGATACACGGAACTGTTACTGTAACAGTCTCAACAGTGTCGCCAATTGTAACAGTAGTTACAACAATACTTATCAGACTTGTATGGAATCAGGTGGCAATTTTACCTGTAACACCATTAGAGATATCCTTGGAAGAAATGTGAGTCTCCGTACCACTAGCATGGATGAAATTTATGGTATACATAGGAACAGCCATTGACTCTCATGAACCATTAGTAGTTAAGACATTCTATGACAGACTCGAAAACTCTCCTGTACTTGTGGGATCCGTTTTCTAATTCTCAAATTTTGTAATTGAAATATTGTCAGATTCACCTTTAGTCTAATAATCGTTGTAAAGGCCCAAACTCAAAAACATCTCATACGAGGCTCTCAACATCTTGGGACATGATGGATCCCAGATATTCATTGTAGAAGCTCAGAACCTCTTTATGAAATTGGACAGTTCTTTATGTTCCATTACCAAGAGAAAAGGCCTATTCCATATTACAATGGTTTGACGCTGATTTCAATGGAGTAATTCAGGGGTAAGTGACTGCATAATTGACGATTTCCTGACTTTCCTGGAGATTCACAATACCATGTAATTCGCCTGTATTCAAGAGAGTGTGCTGTACTGTTAAACTGTAATCATTGACTTTTGATCCAAAAGGGTGAAATCACCACGTGATATGGTACTGTTTGAATGACACAGGGCAGACAGAATTTTTTGTAATGGTGTCTTCCTTAATAGTCTACGGTTATGAATAAGGACGATAGTCCAAAATTCCACTTTAAAATCGGTGGTCGCACAAGCTTAAATAAGTTGTCCCGATATTTAATTCAATAGTGTCTGTCAGATCCGAGAAAGAGAATGTTCCGTCAATGATGGTACAAAATTCAATAGTGTTTATATTAGCATTAGTAATTGCTGTATGTATCCAGATCAATAATGGCAGCAGTAAGCGCAACATGTTAGAGTTCGAGGAGACCATCATTAGAAATGTCAATATGTTATAGCAGACCTTGAACTAAACGTTTAGTCTGTTTGATATTGAAAATTATTAACACAATGAGCAACAAGGGAAAGAAGTGTAGATTATTTAAATGTCTCATTGTTAGTTTGTTCTGAGGTGCTATCTTGTTTCTCTCATTGATTTTCATTCCAACTAACAAGTAACAAGTAACAAGTAACATTACGGAGTACGGATCTAACAAGAACGCATGTATAGGTGGCATGTTCATTGGTTCAGATTGTAAACCAGCGCTCAATAAGGCCGTTATAACAAAGGACCATGGTTTTTTCAGGAAGTGTATTAGCAAGTCTCAACATATTGTGAGATATATAAGTACTGACTGCGAACACAGAACAATTGAAGAACGGCAAAATAAGATAATGAATTAGGTCACTACTCTGTCAGTAATTTGGATTTATATGAGCATTTAATACATCGGCATGACTGATCTCAGAAGGCTTGTGATGGTCCCAACTTTGCTTTTGCTTTCCAATTCTTGTTAAAATTATATTTTTCACTTAAAAGCCAGAGTTTTAACCTCAATTCCAGTTCAAAAATATGTCAGTTATCTATATTGTGATCTATACACTTTACATTCTACTAACCCAAGAAGAGTATTACGTGTCATATATACTAATTAAGGTATCTAGACATTTGTAGCATATTGCTACTTCAAATTTGCTGCTGTTAAAACCTACTTTTGAAATCCAACCAATTGGAATGATTCTATAAAGTGTGAATAGCACATATTCAGGTACATGAAATATGTTTTGATCTCATCTTGATCTGTATTGATTAATCAATTGCACGCAATAAAAGTATTCAATTGAATGGTCTATCGTTTTGGCAGATTCAACGAATCTTCAGTATGTCACTGTTTCCCATATTACATTATTCCTTTCATTTTTGTTGAGTTCTCCAACAACTCGTGGGATACATCGCCTGCATGTATGAGCTCGACTGTTGATTTTCAATTACTATAGCTCAGATATTCGACATCTCTCTTTTTGTTTGTGTGTGTGTTGTTTTTGTTCTTGTATACAGTATCAAGAAGGCCTCAATTCCATTTTTATAAAAATAATCAATTGAAGGTAGCGAACAAAAGAAATAAGTCCACTGCTATGACCCCGGTGTAAAATAAACCATTTAAAACCTGACTAAAGGATTCCAGTGTATAACTTTACGATGTAGTTGTTGTTCACTAAAAACATTTTTGAAACAAAATGATCAATTGTCAGGATCAATAATCATTCTCAAGTAAAGTCAGACAACATACCCTGAGGTCCAAGTTCTGCTATGTTCTTTGGAAAGATCTCACACTGACCCTCAAAAGTGAATAACAGACTCCTAAGTGTCTAAAATCTAGTTCGAAAACTTCGGTGTGTGACTGTGAAAGGAGCTCACTGATAATTATGTGTTCAATAATAACCATACAAAGCATCTCTGTTTTATGAGATTTGATCATAAAACAAAAAATCTTCGCCCGTGTTCCGAAGACTCCCAAGTCATTCGCTACATTCCTGTCATCATTACATAGGAATCGTACCACTTTTTTTGTATTCCTGATATTGTATTATGAAACCTCCATGGCTGGGAAGTCTAGAAAGGAACCCATTTCTACAGGCTATTAGT